CCGGAACCCGTCGGAAGGCCGGGAAACGTCGGAACGGGACGGGGCCGTCCGGGGTTTACGGCCGGTCGGGGTCCCCCCGGACCCCGGCCTTCGTCCCACGCCCCTCGGCCTCCTCCCGCCCCCCCTCGCCCCCTCCACCCCCCGCCCCTGACCCCTCTGCCCCTCTCCGCCTTCCCCCGCGCGGGCCGATCAACTCCAGTCCAGGGCGCAGCGCGGGGACCCTGACGTCAGCAGAGCCGGGTCCGCCAGTCCCCCGGCCCCACTCCAGACGTCCCCCAGACCCCAGGGAGCGCTGCAGGGCAGGAGGCAGGCCGCCCGGGCGGCTCTGGGGGTCGTGCGTGTAGGCCTGGGAATGGCTAACGTAGACAGCGGGGCGCTGATAGTGCGTCTTGGTATCTCCGTGCCGCCACAGGTCGGATGGCCCAGGGCTTGCGCTGAGCTCGAGCCTCAGGCATCAGGGTCGCAGCCCACCAGTCTCAAGGCGAACGAGTAGGCGACTGGCTAGCCAGACAGGTGAACTTTTCACTTAGATTCTGTCTGATGCTATGGCAGAGGGCTTTTGCTTGTTCTTGAGTGTGTGGGGGGGTGGATGATGTGGTAAATAATCCTGCCTCTTTCACTCTGAGCTCAGAATCAATTGAGGAAATAAGCAAAGGTGCCACACAGGCCCCTGTTGGGCACCAGCTGGACTGGGCATGAGGCCGCGTAAGAAGGGCAGCCCTGGCGAACCCTGGCGAACCCGGTCCTTCCTGGTGGGTCCCCTCCTCTCGCCATGTCACTCCAGCCTGTTGCTTCAGGTGCAACAAGTATCTGACTGTCATGCTCCCGCAGAGATCGTCCCTGTGCAGTGGTTGGGTCGGGACACCCAGTCTGCGGGGTGCTTGAGGGCTTCCCTCTGGGTGGCCAAGATTGCAGTGACGACCACCCTTTACTTCCTTTGGGTCTTCTCCCACCAGGTGTGTTCATGCGGGGCCAAACTGGGTCTTGGGGTTTCACTGGCCCCGAATGGGCCAGATTCCCCAGGCACCCAGGATGTCCCCGCCTGTCGTAGCCAGAGCTGCTGTGCCCTGCGATGTGCCAGGTTTGCCAGTTGATTGTGCCACACATGGTGTCAATTTAAACAGCGTTTTGAGTTCAGCTGGAGGTACAGGGGAGGGAGTGGCCGCCTCTTGTCACAAGCAGTGTCAGGCCCATGTAACTTTATTTTCAGTGAAGGCAATTTGCCAAGTTCTTAGCTAAACATGGTTTAATTTTTGCAGCTTTTTGAAGTTTTTCTGGTAAAATATTCACAAATAGGGCAATCACCTTGTTTCTATACTGTTCCGACATGTACTTTAGAAATAGTTCTGCCTTCCAAGAGCTGGACGTTTCTTGTGAAAAGAAAAACTAGTAAGCCAACAGAACAGTCTAAATGTCTATTTGTTTGGTTGATACAGTAAATGCTGTAAGTGTAAAATTATCTTGTAAAAACCGTTTATCCCCAGACTCGCTGGCTGGTTACCTGTTTGCTTTGCTGTGTTCTGTGTCGGCAATGGCTGCTGGTTTCCAACAGGAGAGCTTGATGGCTGAGCAAATTTGTGCCCCACAGAATAACAGCTAAGTGTCCGGGACACTGACGGGAGGTTGCTGTGAGCTCTGAGGTAGGTTCCTATTTTGCTAAAGCAAACATCTAAATGCTTGCTGCCTGCTGCTTGCACCCTGAGTGCCTCAGGGTCATTTTAAATCTTCATAGCATCAGCCTCTGGGGGCTTCCAGGGCCTGGCCAAGGACGTCAGGGTACGGTGTTTCTGACAAAGGAAGAAAAAGGAAGAACTCTCTGGGTGAATTTCCCTCTGAAATGGGGGTCCCCTTCCTCCCTAGCCCTCAGGGTTTTGCTCCTGCCTCCCTTCTCCTGTCCCTGGTCCGTTCCCCCCTCTTACCACCCCCTCTTCGTACACCCGGTGGGACCTTCTGAGGGGCAGTAATGAGCCCTGATGCTGGGAGGGCTGGGCACCTGAGGTCACGCGGAGCATGACCGGCCATCTGCTGGGTCCCAGTGACAACAGTGAGAAAGACCAGGCAGGGAGGTGGGTGAAGGAAGTGGCAGAAAGGCCTGGAAAGCCACCTGGCCTTCTTCACAAGATTCCTCCAGTATTGAGCCCAGGCACTGACACCCTGGAGCCAGGTACCATGTCTCTGTGGTGTGTACGCAGGAGGACACAGCAGGGAGGCGTTGCCGGGGTGACACCATGCTGGGCAAGATGCTGCCCAAGACCTCAGGGATGGAGTGTGGCAGTGGGGAAGGAGGCCCCAGACTGGGGTGGCGTGAGGGCAAGACAGTCCTCTGTTGTCCTCAAGGGGTGCTGGTCTGGGCAGGAGGAAGCTCAAGGCACACTGTGTCCCACCCAGCTCTGTCCCCTTTGGACTAGTGGGCTCCCGGGGTGGGCAGCCTTAGGGATGGTGGCAGGTCACTGGCCAGGGCTGGAGGAGAACTGTCTGGCCAGGCTAAAAATACCAGTGCAAATGCAACAGGTGCTGGTCAGAGGCGCTTCTCATGACAGGCTGGGCTTCCCTGATGACCTTACCTTGTTCCCCACAGTCTTGCTGGCTGAGATTTGGCCCTGATTTCCCATAACCCTGCTGGGCACCATCCTCCCCTACTGTCTGTTCTCTGCCCAATCCCCTGAGGGCAGAGCCAGGCAGTGGCCATGCTTGCTCTCCTGCTTACGGTGTCCCGCCCCCACCCCCACCCCGTGTCTTGTTGGAGATGGTCCCGCAGCACGTGGCCAGTGGATCAGAAGGCTAGCAGGAGGGCAGGTGTGGCAGCTGGCCAGGCAGGCTGAGAAGCTGGGTTCACAGACAGAAGACCTGCCACCCTGGCCGCAGGTTGACTGCAGGGTTGGTTCATGGGACTAGGGTCCTTTCCTGCCCCTTTATGTCGGTGCAGGGCCGGTTTCTGCTCCCTGCAGATAGGGTGCCCCCTGCTACGAGGGCTGTCTCATTGGGCTTGTCTGCCCACACTTGTTCGGGTTTCTGGTTGCCTGGACTAGGTCAGCGGGGACACGTGGGAAGGAATGGTGAGGGCAGCTCAGTTCTACCCACCCGCCGCCACTGGTTCCAGGTGGGCTCCTACAGGGCAGAGGGCCTGCGGGTCTGGCTGAGGTCAGCAGCTTGGCAGGGTGGGGGATGGGACCTGTGCCTTCAGGGCGGTGCTGCCCCTCGGTCACCAGGCCACTGGCTCACCACGCTGCTCTGCCTGAGTCAGGCTTTTGTGACAGCTTCTGACAGAGAGGCTCCAGACAGGAGGCCGAGGCCATGTGTGGACGGTCCACCACACCTGACTGCCAGGGTGGCAGCCCTCAGGACCCTCTCTTGTCTGGGGCTCGCTGGCACTGAAGAGCCACAGGCCTTGTGTGGCCTTCTGCCATGGCCATTCTTGCTGTGGCAGGAAGGACAAAGAGGCCCTTGGTGCTGGAGCTGCTGTGTCCTCAGGCCTTGGTGCCCGATCTTCCCAGGGTCCAGAGACCAGGAGGGCAGCTGAGAGGTGGCAGTGGAGGGAGGCCGTGCAGGCGAACGAGCACTGAGCAGTGTCTCCGAGGAGACCCGCCATCCAGTTGGGAAGGCTCATCCTTCCTGAACATCCATGCCTGTCTGGAACCCCTGGAGGTCCTGGGCAGGCGAGGACGGAGTAGTCACAGGCGCCTGCCCGGGAGGGAAGGGATTTGCACGAGTGGTTCGCAGCGCTGAGGTTGTGAAGGCTCATGTGGACGCTCAGGCTGGGCCCGGACCAAGAGCTGAGCCCTGTGGGCACTGCCCCACCTCCGCCCATCCTGTGCTGGGCTTGGGCCTCTTGGTGGGGGTGGGCAGAGGGTGGACGTCAGATGACCTGTGGGCTCAGGCTCTTGCCGCTGTTTGGTGGGTGAGTTGGGGGCAAAGCCCCGCTGCTGCTCACCTGCAGTCTCTGCTGGACCTGTGTATGTTCTGAGCTGGCCTGGCCTGGGCTGCGTGTCGGGGTTGGGGTGGGGCAGGGCCCAGGTGCACGAGTGACATGTGGTTTTACTCCCTTGTTGCTGGCCAAGCCCTGGGCCTCACAGGGCCACTGGGCACTAACAGGGTCTGGCTGTACCCCGGCCAGCCTCAGGGTCTCCCGCTCACCCACAGCTCTGTAGCCAGACTGCGGGTTCACCCCCAGCCATGCTGTAGGCAGGTTGCTTCCCCAGCGCCAGGGTCCAGATGCACCCGCAGAGCCTGCGTCCCTGTGCAGGCTCAGTCTCCGAAGCTGGAGCAGGACTGCCCTCGTGCCCCAGAGCCAGGGAGCCTTCTCCCTCTTCAGTTTCTGTGGATTTTCCCTCTTAGCTGTTTCTGATCCCTTCACGTTGTTAAAAACCTTCACTGAGGAACCACATGATACAGAGAGATACAGGTTGTAAGTGATCCAAGTTTGCAAAGGGAACCTGTGTGTCACCAGTACCCAGATCAGGAAATGGCACGTTTCCCGTCGAAGCCCGCCATGGCTGCCTCTGCTGCCGTCTCCCGACTCTGGAGCCCTGGGCTGTGTGAGCTTTTCTGTAAATGGAGTAGATAGTGGGCGTGTGACTGCTTTCCTTCAACATCCTGTGTGAGCTTCACCACATGTGGGACTGTGGTTTGGATTCCCTTGGAGGTAAATCACTTGTCACAACCCAGAACACCTCTGAGCAAAGCCGGGTAGGCACTGCTGTGCACAGTGCACACCTGGAGCCGCTAAGCCACAGTTCTCCAGGGCGGGCCCAGCAGTGGGGCCCAGAGTGACCACGCAGCGTTGGCCACTGGCCTGCAGCCGTGGGCAGCGCCAGGCCCCGTGTGTTATCGGTTGGCGGCACCTGTTCCAGCCTTTGTCTGTTCTCTGCTGGGCTGTCAGCCTTATGTGTGGGATCTGCGGCGCCCTCTACAAACTCTGGGCACAGGGCCTTTGTGGGGCATCCTCCCAGGCATTGCTGCCTTTCCAGTCTTAACTTCAGTGCAGCCCAGTTTATCAATTGTCTGCAGAAAGAAAGCGCTTTTTCTGGAAAGTTTTATTGTCTTACCTTTCGCATTGCTCTCTGCAATCCAAATCCACTCATTTCTATGCAGCTATATATTGGTGGCTTACTGCACGCCAACCACCCAGACCCAGATCTGCTAGCACCAGCCCAGCCTCTGCCTAGCCCAACCTTCCCACCAGGGCTTATCCCCTGGCTCCCTGGGGGCCCAGTGTCCTCTCACCAGGATCACCCAACACCTCTGTTCCAGCTCACCACAGGGCAGGGGCTCCTAGCCGTGGGAGGGGCCTTTCCAAAGAGGTGTCCCACCCTTCCTCCAGGATGGACTGCCTCTGTCTTTGCAGCTGGTCTCCCTCGCTGCTGGCCATGGCCACGTGGGCCCCCTCCTGTCTCTAGCACAATGTGCTCTCCTCCCCACCTCTCTCTCCCCCTCATCCTGTCCCATTTGGCTCTCCCTGGCAGCCCTCCTGGAACCGGTGCAAACCTGTGCTGCCTTCTTGATGTGGCCTGAGGGTGCCCTCTGCCTGCAGGTCCCGGCCGCCATGGAACCAGACCCCCAGGCCGGCGTGCAGGTGGGCATGCGTGTGGTGCGTGGCGTGGACTGGAAGTGGGGCCAGCAGGACGGCGGCGAGGGCGGTGTGGGCACGGTGGTGGAACTCGGCCGCCACGGAAGCCCCTCCACCCCGGATCGCACGGTGGTCGTGCAGTGGGACCACGGGACCCGCACCAACTACCGCGCAGGCTACCAGGGCGCTCACGACCTGCTGCTCTATGACAACGCCCAGATCGGTGCGGTGTGCGGGCCAAGGGGCGGGGCCCGGGCGGGGGCGGGGCCGCGTTGGCACCCCCTGATCCTGCCCACCCCCAGGCGTCCGCCACCCCAACATCATCTGCGACTGCTGCAAGAAGCACGGGCTGCGGGGCATGCGCTGGAAGTGCCGCGTCTGCTTCGACTACGACCTGTGCACGCAGTGCTACATGCACAACAAGCACGACCTGGCCCACGCCTTCGAGCGCTACGAGACGGCCCACTCGCGCCCGTGAGTCCCCCGGTCTCCACGAGTGGGCGGGGCCTGCCTGCGGGCTCACGTCCCGGCCACACCGGCCAGACCACTCCCCAGGGTACAGGTTGAGTCCTTCCTGAGCCATTTCCTCAAAGAGTGGCCAGGGGCACAGTCACGCCAGTGGCCTGGGTGCTGACGCCAGCCCCCACCCCCTGCAGCAGAGGCCGCCTTGTCCACGGAGCAGACATGCGGGGGTTGGTGCTGTGGATGGGTCGTCTGTCTGGCCCGCTTGTAGAGCTAGGCTCTGCAGTGGCTCCCCAGTGCTGCCATGGCCAGGACTCTGAGGG